TTCCATTAAGTTCTTCTCTATTTTGACACATATTTCATGATTGTTTCTTATCTTTGACCACCCTTTTACTCTGGTCTTCACTCTCTACTCCCTTTTTTAAGAAAAACTATATATATATTTTTTATTTCAGAGAGGAAGGGAGAAGGAGAGAGAGATAGAAACATCAATGATGAGAGGAATCATTTGTTGCCTGCCTCCTGCACACCCCCTACTGGATATCAAGTTCACAACCCAGACATGTGTCCTGGCAGGAAATTGAACTGTGACCTCCTGGTTCATAGGTGGATGCTCAACCACTGAGCCACAGTGTTGGAATCAGGGCTGGGCTCCTACCCTTTTAAAAGTGGATCTGTGGATCTCATAGTACAATACTGTGCAGAGAGTCTAGATAAGTCAGTATTTGAACTGTTGGCTCCATTACTTGTTGATAATCATGGTCAATGCATTATTCATCTTTTTGTGCTTCAGTTTCCTCATGTGTGAAAAGGATAATATGACTTCCTCACAGATTGTTTTAAAGGTTATGTGAGATGCTGTATTGTGGTTGCTATCATTTTATTGATTGATTGAGAACTTACTATCACATCAATCACTGTGCTAAGTACTTGGAGAAATATTGTGAAACAGACAAAACTCTCTGCCCATATAGAACATAAATTATATTATTACTAGAGGCCCGATGCATGAGAACTCATGCAAGAGTAGGCCTTCCTTCCCCTGGCTGCTGGCACTGGCTTCTCTCCGGTACCCAAGACCTGGGCTGCCTTCCCTCGGGCCCCCACAGGCACCCAGAACCCAGGCTGGCTTCCTTCCAGCCCTGGCTTCGTCAGGAAGGACATCTGGAAGACGTCTGGTCTAATTAGCATATTACCCTTTTATTATTATAGATTTTTAGCCATAAGGTAACAGGCACTAGAAGTGAATCTAATTCTAACAAAGAGGTTGATTATATTCAGGTTTCCTAGCAGAGATAAAACACCTTAAACTAGATACATCATGCCTTTCACTGGGTTCATTCTGGCATGAACATAAAGCTCCAAACATTGAGTTTCTACATTTATTTGGTTTCATTGTTATCCATTAATCCTAATCTCTTACATATTTTCCCCCAATTAACTTTATAAACCTAATTAATATCTGGCTAATTTGTTTATATTACTTCTTTTCCTTTTTCCATGATATAAAATGTTTGTTGTTACTTAGATTTTTGACAGGGGAAAATTCATTACTTGTGTTAATGAATTTCAAATAAGGAATCAATTTGATTTATTAAACTAAGTTTGATAATGACCTGAATTTATTTGAATTTATATGACTGAAACCACATTAACCAAAACACTATGATGTGTCATATTATGTTTCCATATTAGAAATTTGATATTTCAAAGAACAATAATATAGGCAAAGTGCCACATCAAGATGAAAAGAGCCATTGGCATGTAACTGGCATTTATAAGGGCAGTTTAAACGAATATTTTAAATTATCACAGATTTCCTCAGAGAAATTCACTATATCAATAATACATGATAATTTTTTACTTCAGATTTTAAATACATAAAATATTTTACATAAAAATAGTAAATTTTGATTCAGCAATACAAATTATTGCCACATCTTCCTTCATTCTAGAAATCTTTAACATGTGAAGTACTATAAATTGTATATTTACCTTTATGCATGTGGAATTAAAAAAGAAATAGCAGTCATTCCCAACTTCTGCCATTTGCAACTTTCTTGCTGCTAATCCAATGTTTTTTAATATAAAAATTGCAGAAATACAAATATAAGAACTATCAGTGTGTAAGGGGAAAAATAATTTCTTTTCCACAGTCTTTCAGGCTATCAGTATTATTCCTTTAAAACTGACCTCCTGTTGACAGTATATTACACAATAGATACTTCTTAAAGAAATTTAAATTAGAAGATACCTTCTCTAGCTTTGCAGAAATGTTGAAAGTGGTTGCTAGTAAGCACACAAACTCAAACTTCCAGAATTTTCCTCACTGTTATCAAATCCATTGTTTGGTCATCATAAATGACCTCACCTATAACTGTAGGTTAGTTTGCCTTACTGAATACCATGCAGTATTTCTCTTACTCAATTCTTGTATATTAACCAAAACAGCTAGTAAAAATAAAATAGTATATTTTCTTTCAATGTTCTGATTGAATATGAACATAAACTAGCTCATAATTGTATATCTCAAAAGTATTATTTCAAAGTAAATGGCTATTTTCCTAAACCTTATTTCTACATATGGTTTGAAAACAAAACTGAAGTTTTAGATAGGTAAATATATTATCTATATTCTAAGATAATAAATTATTAAAATATATACTCACTACTATCCACTGATTTTGAAAAAAAAAATCATTCCGATTGCAATATTTTAATAGGATTCTGAAAATAAATTGGATTACTTATTCATCTTGTAGCTATAGTCCATTTATTGCTCATCCATCATAAAAGGAGAAAGCGCTTCTTCCTAAAGTAGAAAGGGTCCAGAGCACGTGCAAATTTTGAGACTGTGTGGAAAGCCACGTGATATACTTTGATTGTAGAATGAGACATTTCAATCCGCAGTGGAGAGTTTCTTCATGTTATTATCTTTACTAAAAGTACTAGAACCTAGCAGAAATGAACATAAATATTCAGAGTAGGTGACTTAGAAGATGCCATAGAAATGACAGATTACACTAGATTAAAATGTACTTTTAAATTGAAATGCACACATTTGGAAATGTAATAGATCGACATGGATTCCCATTGTCTAAGTAAAACAGATCAACTTAGTATGAACTTGTTGAATATAATACTGTGGACTAAAAATCTAGGAAATAAAACAAGAACCTAATATTTAGGAGAGAATTGGTTGCCTATAACTTTAAGTGAGAGAGTATAATAAAAAAGAACTGGGCAGTATTCAAAGTAAGTTATGAAGTAGAGAATAAATATTTGGCTGAACCCTTAAATATATTAGCAAAGATTTATGGAAAAATCTAATATCTTGCCTTTTACTTTGCCCTACTAACTCTACAAAAAAGTATCCATTTTAGGCACATAAGTTACTGGGGAAAACACCCCTAATAAATATATTTAAGTGGTCTTTACCTCCAGATAAACTCCTTCTCCACTTAACAAGTTTTAGCTGCATTGGACTATTTGCAATTACTGTTACCAAACGCCATTATTGCATGATTACATGTAACACCCTGATTAAAGCCATTGTGAAAAATCTGTTTTACACCTGGGAAAGGCTAAAATAATGTTTTTACCTCTTGAAGTTTGTTGTGAACAACTATATTCCATTGAACACAGCAAAAGCCAAAACGTGGAATTAAAAAAAAAAATTGTCATTGCAAAGAACAGCAAATAGACCCGTACATTTTGGTAGTCTTTAAAATGCCTGGAACTCTAATCTCTATCTTTTTAACTTTTCTTTCTTCTTTCTTTCTTTTTTCTTTTCTTTTCCTTATTCACTTTTTTCCTATTATTAAATTCATCCTCATCTTCAAGGGAAAACTATGACCATATCAATGAGGATTTTTACTCCTAGTAATGAAGTGATGAGAAATTTGCCTCTGCAGCTGGGGGTAGGCCCAAAAATTCCGTAAATATTTTGTGTTGGTCAAGGTAGACTCAAATTGTGTCTTTCATGATAGGTGCATGTTAGAACACTAGCACATCAGTCACAGAAGAAAGTCTTTCTTCCGGTTTGTAATCCAGTAACACCACTTTAATGTGTGGGGGCAGGTAGTAATCCCTGATGGCTCTTCAGGCTCCTGAGAATCAGGCAAAGCTGCTAGCTACCGCCCATCAGAGTGGGAGTCCAGTTTCCAAGCCTGGATGACAGTCTCCTGACTTGACACCCCTTTCTGCAACAGGCTTTGCCTGGAGATAAAGAGTGCTTTCTTGAGGAATGGGTTAGCTTTATTGGTATTAAAAAAGCAAGTGGAATGTGTTTTAAGATAATCCTTTCTCAAAAAAATGATAGACTGTAGGACCTAGAAGATTCTGTGGCAGTTTGGGAAATGACAGTTGATAGTTGTGAGGGTTATTTGTTGTCCCCTTGAGACTTATGAAGGAAGCTGCTTTCCAGGATTCCTTTGGAGGAACAAAAATGTCACTAATTCTTGACTATAAAATGCTAAGAAGGCTCTGGTCCCAAGTTCTTGCAGCCGGCATCAGGTGAAGCCCCCACCCAATCCTCACTGTTCTTTTGAGAAATAGTCCAAGCTGTTTTCAGTTCTGCAGTTGACTGGCTACAACGACTCAAGCCATTTGGACTCCGTTGGAGCTCATAAGATAAACGAGATTCCCATTAAAAAAATGTGGAGATTGAAATCTGCTTGCAGGTATTCCTGTGGTTTGGGTTTGCACTCCGTAAAGAACATCAGAACCAATTCTGACCACATTACGGTTCAAATCGAGGGGTAATCCAAATGGTAATTATTTATTTTGCCCCAGGCGTTTTAATTATAGCATTTTTTAACGTTCTTACTGGGAAATCAGTTTTCGTTCGGCTTTGAGATGTCTCTGGATATTTCTAATCTTCTACAGTGCTTCCCCCAGGAGCTTATTAAAGAGAACAGGCAAGTAGGTTTCATCAGAACGGTGTTAAATCGCCATTGAAATGATTCGTTACTTATAAACTTGATGTTATTTAATTATCATAAATATCGTCGGTTACTTTGTGTAGTTAAGTACACACATCCCACAAACGGACCTTTGTTTTTTCAAGAACCCGGGGAAAAACACTTGGGAGAGGAGGGGGCGGTGTTTCGGCTCCAGCACTACAACTCCCAGAAGGCACCGCGCCCAGGTACGCTTCCGGCGCACGTCCCCGCCCCACGCTCAGTAGGTGGTCACGGCCGCCGCCGCTGCGCCTGGGCGTGAGGAGTGTGTGGCCTGAGCGCGATTGCTGCCGCCTCTCCCCGCGGGGACCCGTCGCTGTTCCGAGGCACGCTTTCCACTCGCATTGCGCGTCGTGCCCGCCATGAGGCGCCTGGGCTCCGTGCAGCGGAAAATGCCGTGCGTGTTTGTGACGGAGGTGAAAGAGGAGCCCTCCACCAAAAGGGAGCATCAGGTAGCGGGGGCGGCGGCGCGCTTCTCCCCGCGGCGCGGCTGCGTTTCTGCCCCGGGAGCGGGAGGGCGCTCGGACGCAGTGGAGCCGCCCTGTGGGCTGGCGTCTTCCTGCACGTTTCCCTGGGGAGGTGTGGGGTCCTAGCTCCAGGTCTTTGTACCTTCTGTGTTGCAAGGGGGGGACTCTGCAAGGGAATTTTTCTGATCAGGCGATTCACACTTGCGCCCGCGTGTGAATGGGAACCCCACATCTTAATCATACTCCTTCCTTCGCAGGTTACTACTTTCGGGGAAAACTCCAGTGTTTTACATAATCACCGCAGTGCAAGCCTTACCTCTTTTCAAGAGGATGGTGACTGCGTGGCGTTTTTAGAAGACTTACTTTGTTTTACCGGGTCGAACCAGCCTAGTTTGGTCACTAAAGATCAGACTCTTGTCCCAGCAGTTACCTACTTAATTCCAGTTTGGGGTTCCCATCTCAAGGTTTGCTATTCTCTCAGCACCGAGTTTGACACCTAGAGCGTTTTTAGTAAATACTGATGTATCCGGTGAGTAACCTGTGTTGTAATGCCCCCACCAGTGACGCACAGGGCGCAGTGTCAAATCAATGAGTCATTGATCAATCAATAAAGCCGGCGACTGCGAGGGAGAAGCAGCTCCAAATCTCGCAGTGCCCCCTTGGCCGCAACATCAGACTTATTATATAGGCAAATGTCACAAAGGTATCGATTACATCTCTAGGTTTGGAATGAGGAACCTGGTTTGCAAAAAGCAGTTTGTTACAGAAGCTTGGATTGAGCAAGTTAATTATCCACAAAGATTAATTCTAGTTTCAGGTCTTGGGACCACCGAGTCAACGGAAACGCATTATCTGGAGCCACTGAGGCCATTTAGAGTAATTGTGCTGTCCTGGCCTCCAGGTGCAGAGGAATGTGTTTTGAAAGACCAGTAAGACTACAATCAATGGGGCATTAAAACCACAATCAATGGAGTATTCAGTCAAATGACATAACTTATATAAGTTCAGAAAATCAAAATAACTTTTCTATTATTTTAGCAAGCGAATAATTACAGAAGCCAGAACAGCAGGGTTAAAATATTTAACAGCAGTTTTTACCCGAGATGGTTGCTGCCATGCTTCATCTGTATGAGGATCTCGTAGTGTATAGCAGAGCCTTGATAGCAGAACCCCCAGGTATCAGTTGGGCGCTGCCTGCTCATGGACCGCCAGCCAGCCCCCTGACATTATGCTCACCGGCCTTCTTGTGTTCCAGACTAAAGGACCTTTGAGACCGACACTGCCATGTTATTTCCGGTCCCATGGTGGGCACTGGATAAACATCTGTTGAACTGAAGAATGAACCCTGGAGTCATTTCGTGCCAGTTTTCCATTTACCTTGCTGCTTTTTACGTATAACCTCTCTTTCTAGTCTGCTTTCCACTGTCATCACTTGTTAATAGTCTTAATATGTGTACGTATTATGAACTACCTAATTGTTCTTGCCCCAGGAATGATCATCATTACGCTTTTTTTCTAGTTCAAACCTCACCATTACTACTAAATGTCTGTAGCAGGGGTTGTCAAGCTTTTATTTTTTAACTCCTAAAAAACCCAATCTATGCGAAACATTGTCATCCTGAATAATGGTTCATTCAAGCTGTGATTCTCAGCTTGGTAGGTGGGACGGGGAGTGTAGTTTGTGAGAGTTTCCTCCACCAGGAAAAATGAGCCCCTTCTTCTTCCGTCTGCAATTAAGAGTAGTTTATAGTATTGCTTATAGTATTAATTACAGCATAGTATACAAATCCTTAACTATAATTCAAGGCTTCCTGTTCATCCGGCCCAGTCAGTCTACTCTCAAATCACTTAAAGTGAAGTCTCTGTTCTAGCAAAGTTTATATTTTATCCTGCGAGAACTCCAGGCACAATTCTGTCTCTAGTTTTGCTGTGTACTCTACTGAGATAACCTCCAGAATTTTTAATTTTTTGAATCATATCTTCTCTGTGACATTAACCCTACCCCCAAATTGTAGGGGATCACTCTACTGACTTAGTTCTTACCCACACATGCCTTGTTTTTCTAGTTAGTTTACAGTCTTTAATGGCAGTAAAGAAGGAGAGCTTTGTGTACCCCTTTTTATCCTATTTGTCCTTCGGAGATGTCTACAGTGGTAGGTACTGTATTATGGAAGGGATCTTGTAATCAAGAGCTCCACCGGCACAGTGATCTCTTCTGTAGGATCTTTGATAAAGGTAGACATAAATGCACACTACTGGACCAGACTTCGGCTCTACCACCAGAGGTTAGATTGATATCCTCTGATACTTATGTCATAAGTTAGTAATAAACTCCCCATTTACTTTTATCTTAAGAGAACTGAATCAGGCCCTGGCCAGGTAGCTTCTTAGTTGGTTAGAGTATCTTACACCAGAGATGCAGGTTTGATTCCCCTGTCAGAGCACATATGCACATACAAGAACCAACCAATGAAAGCATAGATGGGTGGAACAACAAATTGATGTCTGTCACACATGAATGCAGTGTTTACATTGTGCAGTGTTTTTTCACATTATGTAAGATGAATGTTACATCAAATAATTTAGACTGAAACAGTGGCATAAACCTTTCTCAAATGAAAAATGACACATGAAGAGTTGGTAGGAACCCTAGAAACAGTTTTTTTCCTCCATTCTTGATGCTCTTGGCTAGTCTTCCTGATAGTAGAAAAGTCATAAATGTGCAGTTTACTCCTAATAACGCTGAAAGGTCCCCTGCTTGTTTTTCTCTTTAGCACTTAATCAGACCTAGCATTGTGTTTTGCATTTTATTACTATTGTCTCCCTCCTTAAAATGAAGTTCCACCAAAGACAGGTACTTTTTTATTCACCTCTATATTTCCCAGGGCCAAAAACAATACTTAGCCCTCAGGAGGTATTTAGCAAATACAGTGGGGCCTTGACTTACGAGTTTAATTTGTGCTGTGACGGAGCTCGTAACTCAAATTACTCGTATGTCAAATCAATTGTGAACAGGTGAGACATATGATGCTGGGCTGATGTGACATTCGCTGCACCAACTAGCGGTGGGGTATCTGAAGCTGGCTCATAACCCGAATTTTAGCTCGCAACTCAGCAAAAAATCGGCCTAGAGACAGCTCGTGTCTCGAAAAACTTGTTAGTCAGGACAATCGTAAGTCAAGACCCCACTGTAATTGTCAAGCGATTGAACATACTGAACATCTTTGCTAAGGATGCAGCCCTGCATAGGACATAGTTCCTGGTGTCAAGCTCATCATGGTGGATAAAGAAATGTGAGCAATTAATAATCTGTGTGGGAGGCCAGGTATTGCCCAGACTGGTGTGATTCCTTGGTTAGAGCGTTGGCCTGCACACCAAAGGGTCTTTGGTTCGATTCCCAGTCAAGGGCACTTACCTGGCTTGCAGATTCCATCTCAGCCAGGGTCAGATGGGTATGGGAGACAACCAATTGATGCTTCTCTCTTTCTCCCCTTCCCTTCCTCCCTCCCTTTCACTTGCTCTAAAAAGCACTGGGAAAAAATATCCTTTGGTTTTATTAACCAAAAAAAGAAAAACGTATTGCTGTGATATCAGAAAGGAGGGAATGATTCCTAAGAACCTCATGAACAAAATATTTTTAAATTGTCTTAAGGATAAACAGACTGCTCCTTAGAACCAGTGAAATTATAAGGACAGTCCAGGTGAGACTATGTATGAGGGTGTAGATGCTGTCTGTTAAACCAGTTTTTTCTCTCTCTTTTTTAAGACATTTAAAGTTTTGGCAACTGAAACTGTAAGTCACAAGGCATTAGATGCAGATATATACAGTGCAATTCCAACAGAAAAAGTGGATGGAACATGTTGTTATGTTACTACTTACAAAGGTAAAATAAAACTTCTACAAATATTTATTACTTAATACTCACTAAGGGCCATCCAGTTTGATAATTGCTTTATACATATTATCTCTAATTTATACAATAAGCTCTCCATTTCACAGGTATGAAAACTGAGGCTCAGAGAACTTAAGTAATTTATCCAATCTATATATATAAAAGCCCAGCGACCCTTATGGTGGAATGAATGGCCAGAATGACCAGTCGCTATGATGGGCACTGACCACCAGGTGGCAGATGCTCAATGCAGGAACTGTCCCCGGTGGTCAGTGCACTCCCACAGCGGGAGCGCCGCTCAGCCAGAAGCTGGGCTCACGGCTGGCGAGCGCAGCAGTAGTGGCAGGAATCTCTCCCGCCTCCATAGCAGCGCTAAGGAGCTGTGAACCAAGCGGTAAGGAGCGAGCAGGCGGGCAGTTAGGAGCAAGGGGTCCCAGATTGTGAGAGGGATGTCCGACTGCCAGTTTAGAACTGATCGGGCCTAAACCAGCAGTTGGACATCCCCCAAAGGGTCCCGGATTGCGAGAGGGTGCAGGCCAGTCTGAGGGATTCCCACTGCCCCGCACGAATTTCATGCATCGGGCCTCTAGTACCATATAATTAATGAATGGATGAACTGGTAATAGAACCTAGGTTTGTCTGACCTTACAGCTGATCCCAGTGCTGATTCATTGTTTTCACTAATATTGACAATGTCTCTGATTTATTTTATTTTAATGTACTTGGAAAAAAGTAGAAATTCAAATTGAAAGAGAAATATTTTTTAAATTTCTTTTGGATGGTAAAATTACCTCTCAATTCAAGCAAGAGAGATAGGACAGTTAAATGAAAATTGATTATATTTCTGGTATCAGGAAATCCCTTCTGAAATGTTTTTGTTAATTATGGTAAAATACACATAACATAAAATTTTACCACCTTAACCATTTTCAAGTATACACTTCAGTGGTGTATACAGTTTGCCTTGTGCTACTATTTTCACCAGAACTCTTATCATTTTCCAGAACTGAAAATTTGTACCCATTAAACATCTCACCATTTCCTTTCCTTCCAGTCCTTGCCAACCAACATTCTATTTTGTATGATTTTGACTACTGTGGATACCTCCAGTACAAATACTGGAATCGTACAGTTTTTTGTCTTTTTTGTAACTGACTTATTTCACTTAGCATAACACCTTGAAGTTCACCTGTGTTTTATAGTATATGTCAGAATTTCCTTTTTTACGACTGGATAGTATCCCATTATATGTATATACCACATCCATCCACTCATCCATCAATGTACACTTGGGCAGCTTCCATCTTTTGGCTCTTATGAACAATGCTGCTGTGAACATGGTGTAAAAAATATCTTTTTCAGACCCTGCTTCCAGTTCTGTTGTGTAAATATCCAGAAGTGGAATTGTTAAATCATATAATTCTATTTCTAATTTTTTTGAGGAACTTTCATACTGTTTTCCATAGAAATTGCACCAATTATATTCCTACCAACTGCACATTTCCGATTTTTCCACATCCTCACCAATACTTGTTATTTTCTGTTTGTTTGTTTTTATAGAAATGATCTTAAAGAACAACTTTTTTGTGTGTTTACTAGTAAAAAGAACAAAGGTCCATTCAACCAGAAATGACAATATAATTTTAATCAAGTTCTTCTCTATTAATATTAAGAAACTTCACTGTGCATCATTATGTGGGATTATGTATAATGGTAGCAGTTGAATAAGGTTTGCTAAAGAAAACTTAGTAATGACAGTGCTTACAGCTCATAGTTTATTACAGGTGGAGGGTCCATAATATAGCAAGGGTATTAAAAATTAAAAGTAAGGATGTGCCTCACAACCCAAACCTTCTTATAGCAAAGGGTCAGGAGAGGTCAGGTGAAAACTGTTGTCCCCCCCCCGCCCATCTCCCCATCCCCACCCATCTACCCCAGGCTCCATCAGGACACACTCTCTCAAATCAGGAATCCCTGATGTGTACAGGGAACAACTTTAAAACAGGGAATCCAAAATAGAGTCCCAGCTGGGGATTTCTGTGTTTTGCTGGTCACAAAAGCATCATCCTGCTAACTAAGCAGCCTCAGTAGCAGAGTCCTCCAGGAGTCTCACCGAGACCAGGTGCAACTCATTAGTCTCCCTGTCATATTTCTATTTAGTATAGAGGTAGCTTCAGTTTCTCACAAATGATAGTTATAATAAAATATGGCCTTATAAAAGGGTCACATACTTACTTTTTATCTCATCCCCATCATTATTTTTTTTTAAATATATTCTTATTGATTTCAGAGAGGAAGGGAGAGGGAGAGAGAGATGGGAACATCAATGATGAGAGAGAATCACTGATCAGCCGCTTCTTGCACGCCACACCCTGGGGATCTAGCCCACTACCAGGGCATGTGTCCTGACCGGGAATCCACCGTGACCTCCTGGTTCATAGGTCGCCGTCCAACCATGGAGCCATGCCTGCTGGACTTTCCCATCATTCTTTAACCAAAACTTGAGTCTTCTTACAATATCAGGTTTTGCTAGGTAGGATGTGTCTGTCTGGTCTGCTTATTTCAGTTTGTCTTCTAGGGTTGCTTCTCTTGGAGAAGGTGACCCTACTATTTATTGAAAATTTTATTCTGAAATTTCTTTGAAGGTAAGTTTCCCTCCTAATATTTTTCTTTTCCTTTTATTATTTCTTTAGGTCAGCCATATCTGTGGGCTCGATTAGATAGAAAACCTAACAAACTAGCTGAAAAAAGGTTTAAAAATTTTCTACATTCGAAACAGAACTCAAAAGGTTAGTAGGTCTTTTTTTCTTCAGCCTTTCATGATTTAATTAGCTGAAATGTGTGAGTTATTTTTTGCTGTGTTGTTTCTATACATTGAAGCCTTATATACAATTTAAGTACTTTGGGGGAAAAAGAAAATTAGAATTAAATATTGTCCTATGTAAAAGAATTTCCTGGAAAAGTATTTTTAAATGTCTTTCTAACATTTCTGTGACTCTTCATTATCATAAGTCAATTTTATTAAAACACAAAAATTACTATCTGCACTAATAAAAGAGAAACATGGTAATTGGCGTACAGCCGCTACCCTTTTCATTGGCTAATCAGAGCGATATGCAAATTAACTGCCAACTAAGATGGCGGTTAATTTGCATATGTAGGCACAATGCAGGGAGAAAAAGGGAAAGCAGGAAGAAGCCCCCTGCCACTGACAGTGATCGGAAACCCAGGGGGGAGCTAAGAGCCAGGGGGCAGGGCACAGGCTCTGCCCCCCAGCCATGATCAGAGAATCGGGCGCCTTTGCCACCCTGGCCAGTGATAGCAGGAAGGAGGAGTGGAGCCAGTGATGGGAGCTGGGTACGGTCGAAGCTGGCAGTCCCGGGAGCTACAGGTCCCTTGCCTGGGCCTAAAGCGGAGCCCGCGATCGTGGGGCCACTGCAGCTGCGGGTCCCCTGCCCAGGCCTGACACCTCTGCCGGAAGCCTCAGGGGCCAATCCGGTGATCGGCGATCGGAGGATGATGAGGGTCAACTCCTCTGGCCGAGGCATCAGGCCTGGGCGGGGGGCGGAGCCAGCAATCGGAGGGGTCTGGGGGTCCCCTGCCCAGGCCTGACGCCTCTGTCAGAGGAGTTGACCCTCATCACCCTCTGTCAGAGGTGTTAGGCCTGGACAAGGGGCCGATCCTGCGATTGGAGGGTGATGGGGGTCAACACCTGAGAGCGCCCAGTATGTGAGAGGGGGCAGGCTGGGCTGAGGGACACTCCTCCCCACACACACCCAGTGCACGAATTTCGTGCACCGGCCCCTAGTATATATTATAATGAGAAATACATTTTGTTTTTGTCTGCCTAAGAGACAACCATGTAATTTTATAAATCAGGAAAAAATCTCAAAAGGATTATTAATATTTGTAATTATTAAATTAAAATGCCTCTAAATATATGTTGATAGGTACTCATCACTGCATATCTACTCACTCATATATATAACCTACCTATATATGTACTCATAGTGCATTAAAAATTCATCATAAATCTACACTACAGGAACATTGGTTACTTTAGTTAGATCAGCGGTTCTCAACCTGTGGGTTGCGACCCCTTTGGGGGTCGAACGATCCTTTCACAGGGGTTGCCTAAGACCATCGGAAAACACATATAAAATTACATATTGTTTTGTGATTAATCACTATGCTTTAATTATGTTCAATTTGTAACAATGAAATTGGGGGTCACCACAACATGAGGAACTGTATTAAAGGGTTGCGGCATCAGGAAGGTTGAGAACCACTGAGTTAGACTGTTAATCCTGTATCTGCAAATGGTGGTGTATCCAAAATTGTACAGCAGAAGTGTTAGTACCCTAACCCTGAGAAGTATAGTCAGATTGTGGTGATAATGAATGGAGAAAAATTATATGATACCTGATATTATGGGGTTTATTAGCTAGTCCCACTTCAAATTTTGCGCCATTTTATATTTTTAAAAGTACTGCCACATATAAGATTATCTGATTCTTTTAGAATTTTTTTGGAATGTCGAGGAGGACTTCAAACCTGTTCCAGAGTGCTGGATACCAGCAAAGGAAATTGAACAATTAAATGGAAATCCGATGCCTGATGAAAATGGACACATTCCTGGTATCATGAAATCTCTCCTAAAATGCAGTTTTGTGTTTACTAGTGTAAAGAACAAAAGATCCATTTGATCAGAAATTATGGAATCTAACTTTAATCTGTTTTTTCATAGTATTTATCTGTTCAGCACAAAATTTGAGTCTAATTTATGTTAAGTAAGTTATACCAAAGATGTTTCATATAGAGAATCTCCTCTCAGGATTAGAATCCTAAGATGGACAGTTTACCACCTGTAGTCTTTGAAAATAAAATGTTGAGTGGAAATAGCCCTGAAGTTGTCAGGGTAGATGATATAATTGATCTTTTCTGAAATGAGATATTAAGCCTTTATTTTTTTTAATTGGGGATAATAATGTCTATATTTTTTGCAAAGGTCCTAGAAGACTATTTTAATTAAGGGAGGTGAAAATAAATATCCCACAAATAGTTTTACTAGAGAAGGGAACATTTTTGCAGAAGTGTGCTGAGTAGAAAGATACGCCAGATTAAGGTTCAGGCTAACAGTAACATCTCGAGTACCTGTAAGGTGCAAAGTACTCTTAGGTTCTGGTAATAGAAAATGAGGATCAGAACCCTGATCCTCAAAGATCTTGTAGACATGAGGGGAAATCCATCAACAACAGTATGATTTAAGAATCAAAAGGAAAAGGTATACAGGTTACAGTTGGAGAAAGAGGAAGAATTCATATTCCAATGTGTGGTGGCTAGAGGAGGTTTACTAGTAAGGGGAGTGACATCTGTACTGAAGCTTAAGAACCAGAACGTTAGCTAAAAGGAAGGGGCCAACTCTCCTGGAGTCTTTTGGAAATTTTATTAACACTTTATTTTGGCTGGAATGTTTGAGTGTATGACATTTGAGTCAATTTTAAAATGTGAGGCTGGAGATGTGGAATGGGCTCAGATCTTAAAAGGTTTGTATTCCTTCTAAAGGAATTTGAAGTTTGTCATGAAGATTATAAATTTACATTTTTTTTTAATGGAACTAAGATAAAAATGGAGGGGGGGTGGTTTCCTGGAGACTAGGATACCAAGAAAAAGGTTATTATAGTAACCTTGGGTAACGACAGCCACAGATATGATGGCCACATGGTGTATGTCATAGCAGGCACAATGAGGAATTATAGCAACTGAAGTTAGGATGGGAAAAGTAGTAAGTCAATAAGTGTGAATCAAACATTTTTTAGTAAATAATGGAGACAGTATAATAAATTGTACAACAGTTAAGTGCATATGTCTGTTGTCCCTGAAATGAGAGAAGGTAGAGAGAAAACTTAATTTTAAAAAAGGATTTTAATTCTGTCTTAAAATGGTGCTCAATTCTTATTGAAAAGTTTATTAGTAAAAATGCTGAGTGCTCTATAGTGAATAATCAAGTTAATTTCTCAACAGAATCAAAATGAAACCTTATAATTTAAAAAATTATTATGATTTAAAAAGTAGTAAAACTGTTATTTCTACTGAATTTAAAAGTGACTCTATAATACAATATCCAGAAAATACGGAAAATTTACAACAAAAATAAAAATTACCTTGTCTCAATGCAGAGAAAGACAATGCCAAAAAACCCCACTTTTTGTCTTGAAATGATAGGGTGGGTACCAGTGGAGAAAAACAACAAGCAGTATTGCTGGCATTCCTCTGTAGTTAATTATGAATTTGAAATAGCCCTGGTACTGAAGCATCATCCCGATGATTCTGGTCTTTTGGAAATAACTGCAGTGCCACTGTCAGACCTTTTAGAACAGACGCTGGAGCTTATAGGAACGAATATTAATGGAAACCCATATGGTGAGTAAAGCCTTTTTCTGTTCAGTTGTTGTTATAGTAATTCATTTATAAGGAGAACCTAGGTTCAACTTACACACAGAGAGAAATTACTAATAAACTTAAGTAGCCTAGACCCGTGGTCGGCAAACTGTAGCTCTCGAGCCACATGCAGCTGTTTGGCCCCTTGAGTGTGGCTCTTCCTAAGCCTTAGGAGTGAGCCACATGCAGCTGTTTGGCCCCTTGAGTGTGGCTCTTCCTAAGCCTTAGGAGTACGCTAATAAAATTAATAACAATGTAGCTACCTATATTAAGTTTAAAAAATTTGGCTGTCAAGAGAAATTTCAATCGTTGTACTGTTGATACTTGGCTCTGTTGACTAACGAGTTTGCCGACCACTGGCCTAGGATAATAGCTATTTATTTTATGTCCATGGAGAAATTTACCTAATAGTTTTATTAGTACAAAATGATGTCTAGCCTCTTGTTCTTTCCTATATCAACATTATAAAACTATGTATAAAAGGTAATTCCTCAAGTGTAACTTTTCATTGCTTTTTAAAATTTAGGTGAGCTGAGCTGAATGAAAATCATGGTATGCTTTTCATGACTAGGTAATTAGTGTAGCATTAATTAATACCTGAGTATAAAGTGAATAAAGAATTGGCAGTGAATGATGAGTTGAGTAAAAGTCCCAAGGGCACTGTGGAGTACATTGTTGACAGGGGGATGGATGAAGACAGACCCAAGAACAGTGCAACTTGAATGGCAAAATCCTATATAAAGATCAGAAGCAGACTGATTGGCAGAAAGAAGCTAAGAAAGTAATTTGGCATGGCTGTTTGGCAAACACTGAATAATAGTTGAATGTGGCAAATGATGTAGAGCCTAGAGCAGGGCATTTTATAAAAGGCCAGATAGGAAAGATTTAGGTTTTATGGGCCATACCTCTGAAACAGGCCATAGATAGTACTTAAATGAATAGGTATGGTTGTGTTCCATTAACATTATTTATAAAAAAACAGGCATCTGGCTAGATTTTGCCCACAGGTCATAGTCTGTAGACTCCTGATATAAAGAACACAAAGGTAGAATTTAAATTTAATGGGATATAGTGCCACTTTTGAGTGAAAGTGCTTGTAGCATATCTCTCTGCAAGGAAACCAACTAAACTTGTTGGTAAATCTGTTCTTAGATATTTTAAAAGGCTTTTTTATTTGGAAAGGTAAATGTTCTCATTCTTCTTGAAACCTTTGTACAGCTAATGGCAAGATTTTATCATTTAGGGTTAGGAAGCAAGAAGCATCCATTACATCTTCTTATACCACATGGAGCATTTCAAATAAGAAATCTACCTACCTTGAAGCACAGTGATCTGTTGTCCTGGTTTGAAGGTTGCAGAGAGGGTAAAATTGAAGGAATAGTATGGCATTGCAATGATGGCTGTTTAATCAAGGTAATGGCAGAAAACAGCTTGTGGAATTATGTCCTCTTATATTCCTCAAAGTAGAAGTGGCACTGAAACGCTTTCTACCAATTGCAGTAATTCCGATGGTGCACTCATGAAATTTAATTTGTTCATCTCACATGCCACCATTCTTATATGATAGTGTTTTCCAGTGTACTTGTTCTGTGGGGCATCGGTTGTTCTAGATGTGCTTCAGAACTAAAGTGATAGAAGTGTCTGGAAAACCCTGCATACAACATATTCCTTTCTCGGAAATTCATGTTGCATTTTAGTGCTCTGAGACATGCTTTAATGACAGCATTTAATCCTGTTTAATCCAGCATTTCCCAAACTTACTTGGTTATAGAGTTTGTTGGTTAGAAAGTGCCAAGGGTCAGTTAATATATACAGAATGAATTATCTTATACTTTGTGCCTTTTCTGTCTGTCTCCTGGACTTGACTATTTGATTTCTCACAGGTTCTTAAAATTCATGTTCAAAACTGGACCTAGTTATATCAACCCCCTGACTCCACTGAAGCCCAAAACTTAAGATACATTTTTTAACCCCACTCTCCATTACTTCATACATACAATTATCAGTTCTTAAGGACTCTGATCTATTGAATCTGTATCTTTCTCTCCAACCAATTAGTTGTTAATTTGGATTTAAGCCCAGATTCATAATTTGAGTTGTTATATCACCCTCTTAAACATTAATTCTCAGTGTTATTCCTGTCCTGTTCATTCTTTATAAATAAATGAGAATGTTACTTCCTGCATAAAACTGTTTAATGACATTAAGATTTTTCATGATCTGGCCCCTACTCAACTTTCTGGAACTGCCTTCACCCCCATTCCCAAACATATCCACATTGTATATGTTCTAACCATACTTAAATAATTACAGAGAAAATATACACAATTTCTGTCACATGATAGTCCCTTTGGTTAGACTATCTCCCTACCCACAGTTGGTCAGCTTCTGAACTTATTAACAGACTCTATTATTAAGTTTTTTGGAGCCCCTCATTTATGTTCCTGGCATGTTTCCAGGTACTAGAAATACGAAGTCCAGCTGAACAATGTCTGCCTTCATGAAGCTCACATTTTAATGGGGCAGATAGATAATAAACAGATATGTAATATGTCAGGGGGAGAAGCAGCTATGAAAAAAATAAAGGGTAAGATAAAGTGGAGCTTTAAATAGTGCCTGGAAGATGGTAGGCACACAAAATAAATATTTTTAAGTAATGAAGAAAATGCAGGTTAAAGCTAATACCTTCCTTTCTCTTTCTAGGTCCATCGCCATCATCTTGGTTTATGCTGGCCAATTCCAGATACTTATATGAATTCAAAACCTGTTATTATTAACATGAACTTGAACAAACGTGACTATGCTTTTGATACTAAGTGTCTATTTAATCATTTTACAAAAATAGATCATCAGAAATTTAGTAGGCTCAAAGATATAATACTTGATGAATAGACTGGAAATGTAATTAAAAACTAGCTTTATTGTGTTATCTTGAATCTTGAATATTCTGCCATGTGTAAAAGGTGAAAATATCTCAAGGTTCCTATTTATTGTTCAGTGACTAATGGAGAAATAAGTCTTCTAGCATTTGAAGAAATGAATTTTCCAGTTGGAAATGTCTAGTCAGTCTTATTTAGAATCAGCAAATGAATTTTAACCTCTGGATTTAAAAATGTAAGTAATAGTAAGCTCCCCAGCTTGTACAAAGGGTTGGATTCTGTCCACTATAACTGAGTAGTAATTTAAAGACAATAAGGAAACCAACAATTTTGGATCATTTACTTTCAAAATTAAATACTTTAAGTTGAGTTTAATTTAATCTTGCTTGACATTTAACAAGACATATGGCTCAGCCCTATTGTGTGTGTATGTATGTATGTATATATATATACATATATATACACACAGATATATATATTCAAGTTATAAATACATATAAAATTTAAGAACCATGACACATATATAAATAGGTAAGAATATAAAACCCCAATTTTAAAAGTTAAAATTGTTACTCTCATATTTAAAAACTTAAAACATGAATGTACAGAAGTTCACTATAGCTCATTGCCTACTTGATAGTCATAACTTTAAAAAATCTTCAAATATATACTTTTCTAATGTGTTAAAAATTTCATACAACTTTATTTACTAAAATTTCAAATTCAGGTAAAGGTACAGGGTATTGGAAAGGATATCATGTAGTACAGAGACTTGTAAATAGTTAAATAAAAACTGTAATTATAGCTGGCCCTTAATAAGGAGGGAAATTGACAGGACTTCCCTCTTCGTCTTCAAACTGTTCAGAAGCAGCAACAGGACTAGTTAATTCAACTCCAAATTGTTCAGAAAGTTTTTTTAACTTCTCTTCTAAAAGAATATTTTTTTTCACTTCTTCTTTGTAGTTATACTTCAGATCTTCGATTTCTTCAAAAAACGACGGATCAACATTTTCCAGTTCTTTCTTCAGCTTTTTTATTTCCTCCTAATAGAAATATATTGTCTTTAAAAGACATCAATAGTATATAATACACTCCTTAGGTTTAAACTAAAGAGATTTAATTATAAACATGAGCACCAAAGTAACCTGAATAGCAAATATAAAGATTGAAGTATTAAGATTTTGTTAATAAGATTTTATTGTGCAGTATAAGTAACTAACTTGTTAAATGCCAAATCAAATGGCCTGTTATTTAAGTTATGTCCTAGTCTTTGACTAAAATTTATTAGCTCTTAAATTAGAGGGGGATTTCATCTTTCTCCAAAAGCATACTCTCAGATACTCAGTGAGGCAAGCAAGAAGACATGGCTATTCATAGCATTAATGTTGTTTTGGTTAATATTCTTTAGCTTAGGCTTCATTTATATTTTCTTTACAAATATGTAATTTGTAATGAATAATGGTCAATTTCTTATAAATATATTTATGATCAGGGAAATTCTAGGGCTTCTTGCCTGGCTAAGAGCTATGCATCTGGTGAAGAGGCAATTTGAGCTTTAGAATAGCCAATAATCACTAGGGAACTTTCATATCATGTTCTTTTATTCTATTTACAGATTCTTGAAAGACATAAAGCATAGCAAATATCTTTTTTAAGGGAGGGGAACTATTCCTGAAAAGATTTTCAAAAGGAAATAAAAGACACTGTTCACAATGTGACCAAAAATATTAAAATGAGCTCTATATTTGTGACAATTAAAAAATAAATTTATTCTTTAATCCTATTTTATCTCAGTTTTTTTGGTAGCTCTTAAATATTTTTTAACAGTTGAATATAATGGACTTTGCAATGTCAAGGTCAAATATAAAATGTAGTCCCAGGAATTTTTATGATACATACTTAAAATTCAAAATGGTGACCATAAAACTTTTCAGCAGCTGTTTTCATAAAACATTTATCCTATATAATGCAAGCCTAACATGCTAAGTGTCAGGTCATCCAGTCGTCCGTTCAACCAATCAAAGTGTAATATGCTAATGATGTTATTGCCTTTCAACCACTCACTATGATGTGCACTTACCACCAGGGGGCAGACAGTCAACTAGTCGCTATGATGTGCACTGACCACCAGGGGGCAGATGCCCCAACCAGTAGGTTAGATTGCTACTGGGGTCTGGCCCATCAGGACTGACCGAGGTGGGCTGGACATGCCCTGAAGCCCTCCCATGGTCCTTCCCTGGCTGGCCAACCTCCCATGTCCCTCCCCGGCTCTGATTGTGCACTGGTGGGGTCGCTTGGCCTGGCCTGCACCCTCTTGCAATCTAGGACCCCTTGGGGGATGTCGGAGAGTCAGTTTGGGCCAAATCCCACAGGCCAGGCTGAGGGACACTGGTGCACGAATTCATGCACCTGGCCTTTAGTAATACTATAATTAGATATATTACCTTCAAATGCTGCTTTTCTAGATCTGAAGTCTTCAGCTGTGTCTCTAGATTCTTTATCTTTTCCTTTAGTTGACCATGATCTGCCAAAAAAAATCTATATATATAAGAGGCTAATATGCAAAGTGTCCCCTTGGGTGTTTGATCACTCGCTATGACATGTTCTGACCACCAGGAGGTGGCGCGGAATGAAGGAAGGCTCTGGCCAGCAGTCAAAGGCCCCAATCAGCCCTGATCGCCAGCCAGGCCTAGAGACCCTATCCATGCACGAATTTTGTGACTGGGCCTCTAATTTATACATGTATGTATATGTATATGTATGTGTGTGTGTGTGTGTGTGTGTGTGTATTCCATTAGCAATAAAAAGTAATGAAATCTTGCCATTTGCAATAACATGGATGGACATTGAGGGTATTATGCTAAGTGAAACTAGTCAGAGAAAAATAAATA